AGTCACACCAGAGATTCCTCAGTGAGGGTGACGGGTCTGGCTGTGACATCAGAGTCACACCAGAGATTCCTCAGTGAGGGTGACGGGTCTGGCTGTGACATCAGAGTCACACCAGAGATTCCTCAGTGAGGGTGACTGGTCTTTTCTTTAGAAGCAGCTTCTTGTTGCTTCTCCCCAGCAACAGAATTCAACCTCCCTATGTATCTCTTCTGAATATATATAAAAAAGAAAATGCCTTGGAAGAGTAATTCAACATCTGGAGTGACAGGGGAACATGAGCACTATATGGAAGTAAAGAAGAAAGCCTTAAATTAAGTACAGGCAATCAGACACGGAGCTCTGGCAGGCTCCTCCAGGATGTTGGCGGGCTGCTGGAGGGAGGAAATGAAACACAAATGGAGCTTGTCTGACTCAGAGTCCTCTGTGTTATGGGTTGGTTAGTCAGCAAGCTGGATAGGCGGGGGTGTATGTGCTGCGGTGTGTGTGTGTGCGTGTGTGTGTGTGTGTGTGTGTGTGTGTGTGTTGGGAGGGTGGCAAACCCGCCAACATCAACACAGATGGAACTCATTTTGGCCTCAACGCCTGGTCACCACAAGCCCTCCAACAGTTCCGATGCTGCTCAGTGCAAATGGGCCTGACCGACCTGTCAGGAGATATGAGCACTGAACTGTACAAGGTCGGTCTTCACTTGGGATGGTCTATACCTGGAATGGCCTACACACTGGATGGTCTACACCCGTGCCTGGACATGCTCCTATCAATTCTGCAGCCTTGAGGCTGGCCAGCGGCCCTTCGGTTTATCCTCATGCTGCTGGTATGCATGAACTCACCATGTTACGTCACCAAAAAACAATGACAAGACCAACAACAATAGCCCGCATGTCACATGGTTTGTATCTTCCACCAAAGGACTAGACTCCTCAACTTTCTCTCAATACCACAGCTAATAAACAAGGTCTAATCAATCAAACTCCTCTTTGTTTAATGTCTACCAAAGAACTCCTCACGTTGCTGTGAAGTTAGCAGGAAGCTACGTGTGATGACAGCTACAGGCACCATGTCCACCTCGTACTGTGGGTCAAACACACCACAGCTGGTACATCTACACCTGAGGAGCAGGCAGTGTCTCTGGATGCCTGTGGAGAACCCCTGGCATAATAGATAAAAGACAGAACTAAAAATCAAATGCATGAGTTTTAATGATCTTTAACTGATATGGACAGATGAATAAACAGAAAGTAACTGTGTCCAAGACTTTTGTTTCCTCTCATTCGTTTGCATTTTAGACCAAGCTGCTTAGAGGGCTGCATTACCACTCCTGTTCAAATCAAAAAACGCCTTTTGTTCATGAACAATGTGTCATGATGTTAACAGCACATCCCCTTAAAAAAATCCTAGCAGCACCGCTTCACTGGGCCAAGAAAAGACAGGTTTGAAAGGGGGAGTCATCACAGAACCTTCCATCAATGACTGTGACCCACCAAGGCAGTATCAAGGATCTGCTGCCAGCTGTCGGGGTCTTAATTCCATCCAGACACGGCGGTCTAGCAGAGCTTGTAAATGGTCCTGAGCTGGAACAGCTCCTCATGTCCAATCCCCATTGGGAAGGATCAGCCTCGAGATAAGGGCCAATTAATCACTGTCCCGATACAATCTGATCCATGCCTGGACTTGTGTTGTGGCAAGTTCACACGAAACGACTGTATCCCGGGTCAAGTTGAGGACACGGCACTTCCTCTTGGTAAATTTGCCAGACAAGCGCTCTTGTTCAATGTTAACAATTTCAACATGACATAAGAGCTTTGAGTACAGTTTGAAAGGCAACCGCTTTAATCTAAAGCCAATTTTATTCCTTCTGGCCACAACTTGAAATTCTATCAGACCATGGGTACAAGGTTCTCCCACTATCCAACGCTTCAGAACTCTTTCTGAATGGATAACGCAAGCGAATCTGCTTCAAAAAAATTCTGTGTGACACATATTGACTAACTGCGGAGAGCAAACACACAAAATTTTGTTCTCCGATTACCAGACATCCTGTGGGATCCTTTGGGTTGATATGATGACGGAGGCTTGAGGAAGGGCCAGAAAAGTAACCTATTTGGTGCTTTCACTGCTTTGTGTTCAACAAATGAAAGAATTGCTCTTATTTTCATATTGGGAACATCTTCCTACAATGTAGCCATGTCCTTCATGTTGTTAACACATTTGTAGGATAAAGTTTTGTGGTGTCAGGGATGACACATGATGCAAAGTCAGCCCTCTTAAAGCGGCGCCACGTGACACAGCATAAGCTTGCGGGTCTGTAGACCCACGCTGGCCTATTGCAAGACTTTCGACTTGACTTTTGACCGCTTCCTGTTCCACCCACCCATAGCCTCCCCTCCCACAGCTGGCCTCTCCACCAGGCCCAGCTTAGATCTGGTCTGGCAGTGAGACAACCTAAAGGAAAGCTTGACCGCTTAAACACAGAGACTCAGACTAACACGAGTTTGACCCAAAGAGTCACGTAACTGAAGAATAAATAAAAACTTAGTGTGCCAGAGGTCTGTTCTGCCATGTAATGATTAGTAATTTCAGAGAGGAGGCCTACCACCCTACATTCCAGGAAAGGAAGCCAAGGTCCAGGCCTCAGCAGCCAGGAAACTCCTGGATCTTTCCAATCAGAAGAGACTCCGCTGCTACACGAGCAAAGCTTATAGCTCCGCTGAGGATTCTGCATAAATACTGTTGAAATATTGGGTGATAGAGGCTCTGTGGGTTAGCTGGAGTTAATGGAATAGAAGCTCACAAACATCAACTGAGGTCGTGCCTCCAGCTCCTTGCTTAAAAACTTGACCACACCACATCCCATGTTTGACAGCTCAGTGTGAAGGCCATCTTTCAAGCTCTTAGTTTATTCAATTAATGTATTTTCTGTTTTATTTGTATAGTGCATTTTCGCCACATCATCTCAAAATGCTTTACATTACTGCCCTACCTGAAGCCCCCAGTGAACAAGCCAAAGGCGGAAATTTCCTCACATATAAAAAACAGTCTTTTTTAGAAGCAGATATGTTTCCTGTCAAATATGAGGGACAGACACAAACTGGTTATGAAGCTCCTGGAAACTGACAGGCATGAAAACATTTACAGCTATAGCTATTCACATTAGTAATTACAGCTAATAAGCCCACCATCAGAAAAAGTAGGGTATGGAAGGAGTAACTTAGCATAGTATAGGATGCCATGGAATCTGCAGTCATATGACACAGTTTGGGGTGATGTAACAAGGTATAGCAATATGGCATAATATCACACACTGCAATGCAATATCATACCAATGACATGCTATGTATCATATGTGTTGGTATGTGACATGGTGTCCAGTGAGAATGCCTTACCAGCCAGGGGTGCGGGATCTCCGGCAGGGGCATCTGTGGAGGGGCCGGAAGGCTGCTGTGGATCTCAGCCTTGAGGGTGGGCTCTGCAATCCCACAAAAGAAAGACGGGGGCGCTGTCACACACTGCACACTGCACACTGCACACTGCACAGGCCGCAACCAAGCAGGACTTTCGTACAGAAACTCGACAGTGAGAAGATGCAGTAGCATTTACGAAATACATCTTGTTCTCAGCCTGCAAGTTTTACATGAAGGCTAATTCTCTACAATTTACTATATAATGGTCTACATGTTAATGTTCTGATGAGAATAATGCAAAATGCCTTTGAAGGTCCTAAGCCTGATACAAACCGGTACTAACATACCATTTCCTTAGTAACCTGTAGATATATAATCTCACTCTTTGCATTTGCACAGTGTTGTGTAACCTTATCAAACATTTGACCAGCAGGACGCATACAGCAGCACTGGAAGGTGTCACTGGATCACTGATCAGTGAGGGGCACGACTGACCTTTGGCTGCCAGCACCCTGTGCAGGATGTTGGAGATGTGTAGCTTCTTCTCCCGCACGCCTGCGCTCAGATATTCCCGGTCCAGCAGCTCCAGGAAGAGACGGAGTTCCGACACCAGCTCCTCCATGGCTGGGAAAAACAGAGAGAGACCATCAGAACCAACAAAATGATCTCAATTAACTGACTCCACGGCCCCGCTGTTCCTCGAGGGACATGACTGTTGCAGTCAACTTGGCGGGACAGACGGAGACAAAAGAGGAGAGGAGGTGTTAGTCTGAGTGTTTGTATGAATCTGTATGTGTCACTTGTTAACGAATGCAGGTTCTTAGAAGACATCCTACTTGAGTAAAAAGTTGTGAACAACCTAAATAACTCCGTTAAAGGGACCCTGTTATGCTCATTTTCACACTTCATGATTTTATTTTTGGGGTCTACAAGAATAGATCTACATGCTTCAATGTTCCAAAAACATATTATTTTATTTTATATATCTATTCACCCTCTGTCTGAAACTCTCTGTTAGAGCTTTAAGCCCCACCAGTGTGCTCTGATTGGTCAGCTTGCCCTACAGGTTCTGCCCCTGTCTTGCAGTCTGTAAACAGATCCTTGCAGGTAGGCAGCCAATAAGGGTTGTGTTACGAGGTGACCTCACCATGTCACGGAAGAGCTAGAATTCCAATGAGGCGTTTCAGGCAGATTAGAAATGAGTGGTTTCTGTGGTGAGAGTTACTCCTTTTGGTGTGTACGTTGGGCCTTAAGACTTTGCAGACCATTTATATACACAAAAAAGCTATATGACACACTAAAGGAAAGGGAAAAAACGGGAAAAGTATAATAGGCCCCCTTCAATCTGAGCATCAAGATGCTTTGATTTATATATTTTTTTTTTCATCACATATTTGCCTGAGAAACAGATCCTTATAAAAAAAATTCTGCGTGATCATTCCAACCACTTGCAGGGTAGTTGCTGGAGTTCCCATGTTGGCACCCTTTCATATTAAATCTCTTATCTCTCGCTTTATCTCCTCATGTTGCAGTGAGGCGTAGACATCAGCGGCACGGATCAGTCCCTGTGTGAAATGCTAGATCTTCAAATGCTCCCAGGGAAACCGTGAACCATCATAAGACATGCAGAGACCGCCGTCCCTCTCACTGCAGTCTAAAGACAGATGTGGTTCAGGGGATACCGACACCAGCGACCTCACTTCTGGCCCTTGACGAGGTGTTCGGGGGCCGTGTGCTGAATCGTAAAGGGGGTGTCAGCAGGAAAACAGTCCTGCTGCTTTCATTGCACCTCGAGTCTCAAACTACCCTGCCCCCCCCACCCGCCCACCCACCACTGCATTTAATACTGCTGCCAAATGCCGTATGTAACCCGAGAACCCAAAAAGTGGGCTGAAATAGTCAAAAACAAAATTGGGAAATATCAGGGGATGTCAAAACAGCATAACTCTCACAAGAACTCGGCCAATGTACAGCCAAGGATGACGAGAGCGTGCAGAAAGGTGGAAAGCGGCAGACGTGTAGAGACGGTACACCTGACATTCCACAGAAGCCCGGCAAGCCAAGGAGCAGAGATGGAAAACAGAAGTTGGCAAACGTACGATTTCAGAAACTAACCAGCGTGACTTATGGCTTTAGATTCTGGATCCAGAAATACAAAGGATACTGTCCATAAATGCATAGTTGAAGGTATACGTAAGGCCCACACAATGAAAGATGTAGAGTACGTGCTGTTCTTTGCTGAAAAAATAATATGCACACAAAGGCTGTAAGCTAAACTTCATGATGAAAGCTTTCTAGCGGAACAAAGACTGAGTGAGAATGAGATTAAGAAGGTTGAGTGTGTCGAGTAAACACTGGTAAAATTTTTTTGGAAATTTCCTGCTTCGGACCTGGTAGGACCACAGTGTGGCCAGTCGCTAGACATAAGCAGAGCAGCTGCCTCTCGGATCATAACCCCTAATGTGTGAAGAGACTCATTTACAAAGCTAAGAACAGCACTGGAGTGAATGTGAGGCTTCGCTTTCCAAGTAGCTTGATCTATTTCTAACATAAATTCAGAAGATCTTTATGATACACGGATCCAGCTGCTCCCAGCTATGATGTACATCCCTGAGCGAGCACTGCGGCACGGTCCATATCCTTTCTGAGACTGCAAAAGCCCCTCCATACAACTGGCTGTGTCAAGATCCAAGATCTTAGATATCTGCACTCGCTGACAACATCTGCATGAGGATGACAATTTATGCAAGCAGTGGCCGGGGGAGGGGGGGGGAGAGAAACCTCAGAATCACCACAAACCTTGAGCGTCTATAGTAAAGCAATACACACGTAATCTGTAGGGTTAAGTAATACACTTTAAGGACTGTCTACTCCACCAACCAGACAGCGGATGACAGCTCAGAGACATGGATCTTTCCTGTGTTCAAAGAGAGTAACAAACACTCACAAGCTGACACACGTAGCCTGACAGCTAAGCTAGTGGAGATATCCTCGCCAATCTCCCTCAGCAGAAAGGTGACGTTCTGACTCTGGTGAGATTATGACAAGCCATTACCTAAATGATGTTTACTGGCCATCCTGTCTGGCAAACATCGAAACACAATACTAAAAAATGCAATGCGTATGCGACGACTGCATTCCTCTGCTCATCTCGAGTGGAAGCCCCTCAGCACTGAAATAACAGGCTGGTTTATCAGCAGGGGTGAGTAATATGAGAGGGAAGTGGCCAACAAAGGAAACAAAACAGAGTCGTCCAAATTGCACCAAATCGTGCATTGTGTGCAAAGTAGTAAAGTGGACCACCCTGAAACCTCCCCGAGGTAAGAACATTAAACCATGCAAAGAAACCTCCCACTTGGTGGGTCGATGACCCGCGCTCTCACCAAGCACAGCACCATACAAATCAATAGCCAAACTCTGGCAGTCACATGACCCCGCATTACTGTGTACAGGCACAAACCTCTCAGCAAAGCAATGTTCACACCTTAGAACAGGCAACCCCTGGACCTGTTAGCATCTGTGGCAAGGGGGATAAGTTACATTGCCCTGGGATCAGCAGAAACAAGGAGATAAGGCAGTAAAGAGATATACAATAACAGCAGGGGGAACTCAAGTGAGACAGTATGTGACACCAATGGTATCCTGCCAGAAAACATCATCTGCTAATGTCCTCCATTCAGAGATAAAACATACATTATTCACAACCTATTTGTTATTATTTCTTTGGCTTACAGCTTACTCAAAATCAGAGCAAACATCACAAGTGACAAAATAATCTCTCCTAGAGTTTATCCAAGGTAAGACTCCAACATCATGACGCTTATTTCTTTAAAGCACAGTAAATCGCTCCGGGCCAAACTTTCCTCCGGAATATGGGTTAATGTTTAAAACTCACTTTAGGAGACAACCTGTCATTGCACGATTTTTCCAAAGGTCAAAATAAACAATATGGAAAAGTGTCGGGTAATTTCTCATGCCTGTGGAGACGAATGAATAGACTGTATAAATGAGTAGGACATTCCACATTCAACTTTGAATACTGTTTTTTTTTTTGTTTTTTTTTAAAAAACCAGCAAAGAAATGTAAGAACTGAATGTCCAAGTATCTGTTCCTCTGTGGTCCCTACCTGTGTTCTGGGTTGGGAGCTCTGAGCTGGAGGAGCTCTCTTACCTGGCACATCTATCTTCCACTTTCCTGCCTGGCTGGACCCACACTCCCCTACCGAAGAGGTCACCTCTCAGCTCCTCAGAAAGCCAGAGAGCAGAAACAGACAGCTGCTCCATCTCCCAGCTCCTGAGAAGCAGGAAGGTTAGGCAAACAGGATGGACCAAAATTTATATGTAACCATAACAAAAATAAATGATCCTTTCTCATCTCCAGCTGTCTCTTAGAGTCTCCTCTGTCATTGCAGCTCCAAACCCATCACCCTAGACTGGCCTGCGCCAGAGAAGCTACTGTCAGTTCTTCCTTCAGTCCACCAAGATGGTCCAGCTTTTGCTAAAACCAATGTCCAGCATTACAGTCTTACCCCTCTAAACACAAGATGCAAATCAGATCCTTATGCTTCAGCTCAAATCCTGAGCAAAAAAACACAGTACATCCAGCAGGGGGGATGTCACACAATTTACACCACTCCAAATAAAGTGGCGAAGAAAGTCCTTTGATCTGTCTGGATGACAAGTGTTCTGGGAAATGCTGCTAATTCTCCACAGCATCCTGGGTAGCAGGGAGAGTCGCACTGTATCTCTGAAAGGTAATTACAGAGCACTCTACTGGAAAACCACTGGGAGGAGAGTGTCAGGGAGCGGAGAGAGGGCAGCGGTGCAGATCCTTAAGTGGTGGTTGGCTTTCCTTTGGAGCAGCCCGTGGAGACCTCGCATGCACTCATCTGCTCATCTGAGCATACAGTACTGAACCTTCTGCCATCCCAGTGCAACCAGGTCTCCCAGTCCTGTCCAAAGGTCTTTGCATCTCAGCGTTAAATTATTCTGACTCATTGCTTTCGACACTTCATCTTCTGCAGAAAGCAAACTCCACGCCTATTAGATCTAATAATGGGTCCCAACCCAGTTTCTTCTTTTCCCCAATTTGGAGGGTGGATGTGGCTGTGAAGGGGGATGGGAGACCATGTGGTTCCCATCATCCTCTGCCCCATTCAGCTGGGCTCCAGGGTCGCCGTGGCACCGGGAGCCACACCCCATATACTGAGCTTGCCCCTTAACCGACACCCTGTCATTTACCCCGGTCCGTGACCAGCCAGAAAAAAAATCACTTTCAGTAATGCCCTGTCTTGGGAATGGGAACAAGGAGGAGGCGGCAGGAACAACACCAAGTCCTAAGAACACGACGGCCACATCAAATACCCACACAGTGCCAATTACGGAGGAACACGACAATAAAGCAGCCATACGCACATTAACACTTCTTCTCTAACCCTATAGAATATATTCTGTGTTATGTATAAGTTGCAGTCATGGAGTAAGATTCACTCAAAGCGGTGCCTCCCACAGAAAAGTCTAGTTTTATTTTGCTCCATTTTTATATATATATAAAATAAAGTCACTGACATATGTGCTGTTCTATACACTGTTACTCCTCAATAAAAGCTACGTACTATTGTACTACATGTAGTTCCATGACCTCAGTTTATGGTGTGGCTCTGTAGGGTGGGTGTCTGTTATCGGAAAGTCACCAGTTCAAATCCCACGGCTGGATCTTTCAACAAGGAGTTCCCCACTTATTCCACTGACACTGACTGATCTTCCAGCTTCACTTGTATTCTTTGAATTAAAGTATCTGCTAGATAAATTGGGTATTTGCCAGAAACATTTATAAATACACTACCTGTTGGAAGAACACAGATTAAAATGTGGGAGCAGCAGAAAATGCGTTGTAGCAAAGAAACATGGGTTACTAAACTAGCTGTTAGTCAATAGTAATTCACCAATGAATATACCGCTTGTCGTTTTGCAGTATAAAGCAACCGCAGCCGTCTCGCGCGCATGCGCAGCACGAACACCAGAAGGTACCACGTGTATAAGCTCAAATAAACAAAACGGCATTCATCCAGCGGCTGGGGGCGGGGTGGAGATGTGTTGCTGTTCCCCCCCAACCTACTGTATGTCAGCAAATGAGTCAGGTGTAAGCTGTGGAGCGCCGGTATTAGATAAAAACATGACACGGGTGACGCGTGTTTTCGGGAAAATCCGGTGACTATGATACGATAACAGACAGAGGAGCAGTATTCATCTGCTGAACGAGGGAAGGGGGGAAGCAGAGAGAGAGAGAGCGGTCTCAGGTTGCAGGAGCTACACCCAAAGTATAACTCCGGCTAAGCACCTAAGGACCCTGCCGATGCCGCCGAAAGGCAGCGGTGCGAGGCTGCCAGTCAAAAGCTCTTTGCGGCCAAAGCTATGCAGACAACCAGATCAGGATACTTAGAATATTACAAATTATTAATGGAAGTTCTATCTTAGTGTTTAAGAATAAAAATGAGCATGAAATATTCTACACCACATGCGAGATCGAGTTTAGGTTTTTATATCCCAATTTCTACGAGATTTTCAATGTAAGTTACCATATAAATAATCCAGACCGTGATGTAAACATCTTAAACTATTTCAAAAGATGTTTTCAGGGAAAGAGATGATATTTTTCAGAAATCAAAAAGAGAAGACTTTGCGAAACGTCGTAGCGCGAAATGCAGCGCGAGCCCGGGCGAAGGAGGGTTACGCGGCACAGCACCATCCATCAATTATGTGAAAAAACAGGCTAAATCAAGTCAGCACTCCGCAATTTTCAAACGGATCCCTGCAGTGTGTATTATTATCACATCAATAAATGTCAAAATCCAAGGTTTTCATCAAAATCCTCTCTAGGATTGATGTCTTTCCCTGTACTTTCCCTCAGCGCCTTTTTCTATCGCTTTTCCTCTGCACTTCCCCAGCTTCAAAAGTTTTGTTAATTCAAATCACAGAGGATGGTCACGCCATGGCACACATAACCGCTGCCTTTATGCTCGTACACACATGCTCGTACCCCCAGGGAGCGCGCATGCGGGCACACTCACCCCTCGAGGCGAAGAGAACGGGTTCACTCCGCATCGTGCGGCGAAATGCGCGTCCTCCGGGGCGACTCAGCGCAGCAGACTACTCAGTCTCATTAACGCCCGGTCTACCTCCGATGGGCAAAGACGGCGACAAACGCGAAGCTTCTGCCGTGCTGAGATCGCAGCTCTCAGCCCCCGTCCACGGATCACAGAGCGGCTGGCTCGCTGTTTCCTCCCGCACTCGTCTTTTTTCCTGCTTTCCTCCGTTCCGATTTCGCTGTTTTCTACTTTTCAGATGACCCGCATCATGTCGGCGCTAAGGAGCGGCTCACGTCTGCCGTGTCGGCCGGTCTTCAGGCTCGCCGTCCCTCCTGGAAGCGCACCGGGCAGGAGTAAGCGCTCAGGTCCCGTGCGGACTAGAAGCAGTGGGCGCTGAAAGCTGAGACGGCGGGGGGGCTCCGCTCGTCAGATTCTAGGGAGGAACTTTGCTGCTGAGTCCAGAAAAAAAAATCAGCAAAAAAGCTGTCCAATTCTCCCGTTCCCAGCGGCAGATGGGATCCCTAACTGGCTCCTCCTGGGAGGAGGCGATCGGGGGTTTATGGTAATGAACGACAATTATGGCAGAACCTGGCCTCGGACGAGGGTGTGTGCGGGGTGGGGGCGAATCTTACGCGGCTGGGTTTTGATGGGAAACAAAGACAACCGTGACACTTATGAAATGGAAGAATGCCGCTTCATGCATCATACGGCAGCTGGACTCCTTATCAAAATACAATCCAAAGAGAGAAAAACCGAGCAAACAGTGTTTCGCCATTTAGCACTGTAATACAAAAAATCTAAATTCAACAGCACAACGAAATCTTGCGAGGGATATGTTATATATCTACGAATCATTTTCATATACAAAAATTGTGTATAGGATGTACCATACCAAAATCAACTAATTACGTTGCAAAAACTGAACATTTAATTTAAAGCCTTGTATGTTTGTATTGCCCAGCCTTTTTCCATCAGCATTATGTATTGCAGCCTAATACGTGCTTTGCATTGATTTTTTTTTTGCCTGTGATGAAATAGGTCTTTTACAACAAAAGTTTATGTAACGAAATATATTTTGTGTTTTGACCAACCATGCATGGGCAAATCCCCTCAGCAAATCAATGGTCACACAATGTTGGTACTTTATAAGTCTCAGGACAGAGGTCTGTCAAAGCAAATGCTCTGTAATCCACAGGAAAAAAAACCTCCAACATTTAGATGACTCACAGCAAAGCCTTTCTCCAAAACAGATACCCCACAGGTACCTATCGGTTTCTCTTGGTACTGAACAAATTGGAGGATGTACTTTTGGAAAGTTGACACTGCAGCAGGTATTTGAAAGAGAGTCTAGACGGGGTCCCGGTGAAAAGAACAGAGGAAGAAAGTGACTCTAAACACTTCAGGCTGGTGGGTAGGGTGGGGAGAGAGATCAAAGGACAGAGTACAGAGCTGCAGATGTGGAGGAGGCCACGGGGGAGGGGGAGGGGGGTGTTGAGGAGTCGGTGGAGAGTTTCCTGTGATCTTCTTTGCCGCAGTCACATCACACCCACATTTTGCATCATTCCCGCAGAATTTTCTCTCAACTGAATCCAAACATTACCTCTTGTGTTGGGCACTGCCCCCTACAGTAAGGGAGGAGAAATGGTGCTGCTTTGTCATTACGGCATGTGTGTTTTGACAAGACGCTTGGCTCTTGCATGATGTATTCCTGTCCATGCGTGTGGCATCCAAATGAGACTTGTGCGCACATGTCGTAATGAATATGTTGGCTTTTGTGGAGGCATCACTCGCAGGTTTTCTTGGCAAGAAGAAGCCAACAAACTAAACCGATTGTACATGATGAGGCCCACTGGGAAATAGTCGTCATAGCATAGGATTTGTGAATTCAACATGAGAATGAACACGTCTATCAACAGATTCTGCTGTTCCAGTCCAGAATAAGAGTATAATAATAATGCACTTGTGACAGCTAGGCTGAGCAGCCCCACAGATTAAGTGTAAAGAAACAAGAGGCTGAGGATAGTAGATGGGACGATCTCCAGTTGACGGCTTGGCATTGGCTGATCGGAGCCATCGACGGCTGAAGCGATGCCAGGTTCATGCAGACTCTCGACAGCTGGCATAGGCGGTGATGTCAACACTGGGATTCCCTGCTGTCACATATTCACTAGGAGACAGACTCACGCCGGAGATTGGCGTCTGTTTGAAAACCCTGACACTGGCTGACGGGAAAGTGGAAACCACTGGAGAAATAAATGAATAAGAATATGTAAGGTCCATCTTCCATAACCAATTATCCAGTGCAGGGTGGCTGATAGCAAGCGGCCTGTTCCAGAAAATACCAGGCATGCGACCGGGGACACCCTGGATAGGATGCCAGTCTACCGCAGGGCATGCACTTACACAATATGGGTGATTTAGCGACACTAATGCACCCAAACCACAGAGGAAACCCACGCAAACCCCAGGGAGAGCACACAAAGTGGATCAACACGGCACCAGCCTGTTTCGAACCTGTTTCAGCAGCGCAGGCGTGCCCCTCACCCATTGTGCCACCCTACAATAGAACATTATCTGTTTTATTATAAAAACGTTTTGCGTTTTACACCATCTAACAAGAGAGATATACGAAAAACATTTGCTTGAATACAGCAAAGATGATTATCATAACCAAGCAAGTAATCAAAAAGCCTTAGTGAACAAAGTGTTTCTGTTTCTGATCAGCTGTCATTGTTAACATGACTCTGGTAGAAATCACGCATGAATATAACTATTGTTAGCTAGTTACGTTGTATTAAATTATCCTGCTTCTAAGTTAAACCTGATGTCAAAAGTGCCTTTTGGTGCCATTGCTCATGTAAATGTAGACAATAAATTATACATAAAATGATGAAATAGCCATGCAACTGTAAAGCCAGGCATCCCTGTTCTAAGATACAGCCGGTGTCTTGGGTATCAGGTTCATCGTAAGTATTTTCACTCATTTGCACTGCAGTCATAATCAGACTGCTGGACATCACACAACAACTTTATCAGAAAGAGCCCCTCCCTTTTCGCAGAACTGAATCAGGATATGTTTCACGGACTTGCACAAGACCGTCCTCATTCTTGCGGTCTCCACGGCAATGGCCGAGTGTAAATCAGCGCGGGGTCATGTTCACACTGCCCCACCCAGACTGACTGCCTTCAGCCCCGAAATCATTCGCAGAGCTTGTCTTAGGAGCAGTGAGGATTCAGCAGGGCCAAGGAAAACGTCTAGCTGGGGTAGGTATTTCTCTTAGGTGACTGAATCCCAAACAACCTTCATAGCTTACAATTCATACAGGCAGACATTTGCCTGAGCTAATTCACGCTTTTATTTAATACGACAGTTTGGTTCCTTTTTTTGTGCTTGGCCTACAAGCCTCTGGTGCAGGGTACAGGCTGTAAAGCTATAAGCCTCCCCGCCTTGAATGGCGCTGAGCTCATCTCCTTGGCTGAGCAGCTCCAGCTGAACAAATGGCCTGAAATGTGAAACATCTCAGCAATGTTGGTAGTTCCTGAACGAGGAGGGGGGGCACCAAGCAAACATACAGGCCTGCGTGGGGGTAAAGAAACACTGACTCCTTTCTGGGGACCAGGTGACCCTTCCTGTTATTCCAGACACGCCTGTCCTAACAGCCCCCCCCCCAACGCCCCCTGGCATCTGGGCCGTGTGGACCAGCCAGACTGGGGGGATGAAGCTCTGCAGTTTAGGAGTCTGTACCCATAAACAGAAGGTCACAGGTTCAAATCCCGTGGCCATCAAAGTGGTCATATTGCTTGCGCGAGACAAACGCCGACGCTGCTCCAGGGCTGCTGGGTAAATGTCTGACCCTCCGCTCTCACCTGTGTCTGTGTGTCTCAAACAGGGAAAAAAATTGGATGTATCCGTACTTGTACAATGGCAACATAAATTGACATCATCCATCCAGCTGCTTATCCTGATCAGGATAAGTCTGGCCGTACACTTTGGCTGGGATTGTGAGGGTGCCTCTAACAAATATTAATTATGATGTATTCCTTCCATCCCGCTTCAAGTCCCTGCTCTGACATAAGGGATGGGTCAAAGGTCAACATGATGTCATGTGATAACAACAAAGCCAGCAGCATTGTGACTATATTACTCACGGCTCCCTGCTGATGATCACATAATGCTGTCCAATCTCACAGCATTAAGGAGCTGCTTACCAGATGGTTTCTTCAAGCATGAAGCATCTTGCAATTATGCAACTGATACAGCTGGATATGCTAACATATCTATTTTATACTCAGGGTTACAACTGCAGGATTTTGCTGAACCCATAACTGGTCACTAGATGAACTGTCAAGCCCACATGCTACTTGCTGTCTCATAAGACGGCTTGGCACAGAGCAGCGGCGCCCCGACGGTGCTGTTTTCACAGAAGGAGTTTGCGGATTTAAGCCTGTAAGTCTAGACTGAATACTTAAGCACGTTGAAGCAAATCCCATTTGCATGTAACTCGGGTATATAGCGAGAAACAGATCCACTGCAGATTATCTCATGACAGAGAAGTGGTGAGTGACTGTCAAGTGCTGACAATTTTTGGCTAAAATATGACATCAGACAAGGCTAAGCGTGGGCATCTCTAGCAAACATGCTCAGTTGTGTTTAAGTTTGTATGGATCCTGGGCTTCATCTATTCACCCACCTGCTGATTCCAATAAGGAAACTGCCATTGTTACAGAGGGACTGTAACATCTGTTCCCAGTATATGTCCGTAATTCCTGATTAGCCAGAGGCTCCTCCTTGGTCCTAATCCAGGCTCTATCCATCTCTAGGCCCCACTGTGAAAAGAAACGGAATCCCACCATTTTCAGGGCACACAATGCAGCCTTCAGCGCAATGAGGATGGTCCAGACCAACTGTCCAGAGGGATTTTCCCA